CCAATGGAACCTTCACCAACATCCTTTCCCTTGATGGACCTCATCCTTCCCTTGCCTGTGTCCTCAAATCACACTGTGCAGACTTCTTATACAACATCCGCTTACACTGTGAGGAGCCTGAGGTTTAGAGTCAGAACCTGGGGGCTGGACTCTCTACTTTGCACTTACCACATCCCATTAGGGAAGTCATACAGCTTCTCAAACTTCTGATGACTTTGTCTATAAAATGGGTCTAATGGCATGGTGCCTTGCCAGGTTGACACTTAGCCTAATATGCTAAGTGTTTGGTTGGCCATTTAACCAATCAGAGTGTAATATGCTAATGATATGCTAAGGCCACTCAACTGCTCTCTATGACGTGCACTGACCATCAAGGGGAAGACTCTCTGACCAGCAGGTTAACTTGCTGCTGGGGTTGGCCAATTGGGACTGAGTGGGACTGGCTGGACATGTCCTGGAGCCCTCCCACGGTCCTTCCCCAGCTGGCCAACCTCATGTGTCCCTTCCTGGCCCTGACTGTGCACCAGTGGGTACCCTCAGCCTGGCCTATGCCCTCTTGCAATTTGGGACCCCTTGGGGGATGTCAGAGAGTCAAATTTGGGCCCTCTGAGGCCAGACTGAGAGACCCCACAGGTACATGAATTCATGCCTCTATCAATAGTACACTTATATTTGTTGGTACAGAACTACCTCTATGACATCCTACTGAAGGGAAAGAAAGTTACAAAGCACCTAGTGTCCTGAGATCATTTGTATGTAAATATATAAATGTAAATTGTATTTATACACTCATGTGCTTCTAAAAGAAAGTTTTCTAAAATGCTAGTAGCTATTACTAAGAGGTTACAGAATATTAGAAGGATTTTTATTTCTTTAATATTCTTTTGAATACTGATAAATAATGATAAACTAATGTTTGGGAAGAAAGTAGAAGCACTATGCACAATATTATAATAAATTTGAAAACTCAGAAAAGAAACTTGTCCAGCTATCAGTGTGACCATATATCCCAAAGCTGACTAAGGCAATGACTGTGGAGATCATTGGTGAGCAAGTAAATAAACTTGTGCCCTGTGTTAACTGACTTTGCACAAGCTTTAACCATGTGACTTTCCATTTTACCTTCTACAAAATGGTTTTTCATTAGACCTCTAAGTTCCTCTCCAGCACTGACATTTTATCTTTCCCTCATTAAATAAATATTCATGGAGGACCTATCATACGAGCACTCAAACATTAGAGATATATAATGAAGAAGAAAGATATGGCCCTCAACTTCATGGAGCTTATATTCTAAAAGACACCAAAGAAGAAAATAAAAACAATTTTTCAGAGGGTAGGTAATGAGGTCCAACAGCAGAGGGAAGCTGACCTTGGGAATCACAGTGGGATTCTCAGATGCAGGGACTGATCACCCTCATCAAAGCTGGGAGAGCGAACAGACCTGGCATTTTTGAGAGACAAAAGGCCAGGGCGGGCAGGATATTGTGCCTCTTAAGCTGTTACCCCGAATTCATAGAAGAGGGTATGCAAAGTTAAATACTAATTACTAAAACAAAGAACCAATGGTGCAACAGAGCGGAATTGACAGGACTACTCCAACCATGAAGACAGAAGAAAAGCAGTCCAGAGATGGAAGACACTTGATGACGCCTTGCCATAATAGCAGTCAGTGGCTGTGTATCACTGCAGGTTGCCCAGGACCAAACCAGAGAGGGTTGGACCTGCATTACCACCATTTGTCCACCATCCAGAACTGAAATATCATTGCTGACATGTACACATAAGGAACTGTTTGACATAGAAATTGGGACTCAAAAGAACTGTTGGCCCAGAAAGAAACTCACTACAGACTGATTCATATGCCTTTCAGCATAATGATTATAGCTTGTTTCATTTTTGATTCTTATAAGTATATTTCTTATACTTATTCTTATAAGTATAAGTAGGACATGATCTCACTCATCTGGGGGAAATGGTGAACAACATAGACTGATGAACAAGAACAGACCCAAAGATAAGAAGCTGTGGGTCAGACTGTTGGACCTCAAAGGGAGGGTGGTGATAAAAGGGAGAGATCAACCAAAGGACTTATGTGCATACATATGAGCCTAACCAGTGGTCAAGGACAATAGGGGGATGGGGGCATGAGTGGGGAGGGGTGGGGGATTAGAATGGGGGGTTGAGGACAAATATGTGATACCTTAATCAATAAAGAAATTTTTTTTAAAAAAAAACAATAGTTATGAGAAACTTTTATCCAGATTTGGAGCAAAGCAATGAGAGAAGGTTGAAGGCATTATACACTGTTCCGTTGAGCAGTGATACTGCAAACACAGGTGTATGTGATCAGGGGGAAGGCTTTGCCCTTTTTAGAAATTAATAAATGTGTAAATGAAGCAGCAGTGGGACTTCCCAGTTCACGTTTGTGGAGATAAATTTCTGTGTGCCTCATACTTCTGCTGGCTTGATATTTAACCAGCAACCAAAGTGAAATAAATAGACCATGAAAGGAAGCTACAAAAATCACAGGGTCCTGATACACACTGGAGATGTAGGATAATTCTTTGCAACTTGAATTTCTCCAAGCTTCACCAGCCTACAGAAGAAGTAAGCTCCACTATCATAGCTAAAACATCACCACAGCTGCTGATGTAGGATCTCCAGTCTCCTGTGGGGTCTCACCCCCAGGATAAGGGGGAATCTGAGGGGTATCTCACAGGGAACCATGAAAAAGTACACTTCCATTCATATCTGTGCTTTATCAGGTATCCCCTGAGAATCACTTTGCTGGCCTACCATCCACTGACCCCCAATACATGAAGGACATCAGTCCTCTCCACTATCCTCTGAGCATTACTATCAGTATATCCATGTTCCCTTAGGCCAGGGTTGGTTTTCATGACAACGGGGGAGGACACTAATCCCTCCCGGACTTAGATTCAGCATGGCCATCTAGTCCCAAAGCAGCAGTGGGTGTGACCCAAGCCTCAAAGCATCCTCCTCAAATAGAGCACCATCAACTTCTGCCATCCCATGGGTCCTCCGCCCAGACTCAGACAAAGTAGCACTCTGGCCACTCCCACTATTTCCAGAGATGGTGCAATCAAGACCTAACCAATCAAGACCAAATCCCTACCATTAAGAAACTTGTGTCATTGTAAATCTCACTGCTCTTTAGACACATCCAGTGTCTTTTTCCATTCAGTGCACTGAGGGCATTTGGAGTCACTAAGGCTGAGGCTACAGTAGGGCTCAGGGGGCTCCCCAGGCAATCTCATTTCACATTTCATTAACAAACGCCATGCCAGAGGCCGAGGAAACAGGATGCACACGACATGGTCCCTGCCCTCGTGCAGCTCACAGCCCAGCGGGAGGACAGGCAGCTTCATCCTTGATTGCTTAGGAGAGGTTGCCATGAGAACATGGTTTGGGACTTTAAATCGGACTAATGGGGTCAAGGAAGGAGATTTTAAGAGTGAAAAATGCTTGGAGAGGTGTTTTTAAGAAGACAACTTGACTAGGTGTCATGTTAACTAGTAACTGAAATCCTTGGTTTGTTGAATAATAGCTACCTCTCTTAGGAAACTGGAATAACCTTGTAGTTTCCAAAACTGATCAAGACTTTGTTCCTGTGTGTTTCTTTCACATAAATCCCTAACTGGTTTGGCTCGGTGGGTAGAACATGGGCCTGCAGACTGAAGGGTCCCAGGTTTGATTCCAGGCAAGGGCGTGGACCTTGGTTGTGGGCTACATCCCCAGGAGGATCGTGCAGGAGGCAGTGGATGGATGTTTTTAACCATGTCTCTCTTCCTTCTTCTTTGTAAAATCAGTAAAAATACATATATATATATATTATATATATACATATATATGTATACATATATACATATATATACACATACATACATACATACTGGCTCCTTCTGCCGCTTTATCCAAAGGGGCCATGTCTATGTTTCCATAAAGTCTGTTCAGGCAGAATGGCCTGCATATCCGTGAATGGCCCTGAACTCTCTCAGTGATGAAGATCTGGCCGAAATTGGAAGCTCCACAGTCCAAAGAGCATGGATTTTGAAGCCAAAATGAGTTCCAATTCTAGCCCCACTATTTCTAGTTCAGTGACTTAAAGCAAAGTACTTGGCCTCCCTAAAACCTCAACTGCCTCATTTATAAACCGGAAGTGGTAGCGCCCACCTAGCCCAATCGCATAGCTCTGGGCTTTCAGTGAAATGAAAAAGCCTGAAGGGCTTTAGCTCCAGAAAGCACAACCCAGTGAGGACACAAGCGCATTCCCTTCTCTCTCCGCTTCAGATCCACGCTGAATGGCGGGAAGCCCAGCGCTCTGCAGCCAGGGAACCCCAGCTTTGGTCCCTGATCTTCGTCACCGAACCCTATAAATAACTTGGCTAAGTCACTGCCGCCCTTGGAGTGCTGCTTTCGCAGCGTGAGGAGGGAGGGGCTGTTGCAGGTGGTTCCTCCTGGCTGAGTCACTCTCGGGTTTCCTATTCAGTCCGGGTTTGGTCTGAATTTTCCCAGATCCCTGCGAAAGCATCACCTGGACCGACCCGACCAGACCGATCTGTCGGCGCGCACCCAGCATTGGCTCCCACCAGGGGGCCCCTGCCTGCCCTGGCCACTGGCCCTGCCCCCGGCTCCCGCCTCCCGCCTCTCCGGGGTGATAGAGTCTGAATCGGAGCCGCTCACCCACTCACCCGCTGCCGAGGGGCAGGCACCACCACTGGGTGGCCAGCGGGGTGGCCGTGGGCTCGGCGGGGCGGGGCGCGCTCTCCTCTCCCCCGGGAGCGCGGGACGTGGGCAGGGCAGGCGGGGTGAGGCCGGTGGAGGGCGCCTGGGAGCCAGCCTCGGCGAGGATGGGAGTCCCCGGAACCCCGAGCTGAGCGACCTAGCGCGCGGCCAGCAGAGAGGGCGCACGGGGAAGGCAGGGCGCCCCGCGGTTCCTCCGGGAGCCCAGCTCCGCTCCCGCCGCCGCCGCCGCTATGATCCCTCCGAGCGGCGCCCGCCCGGACGGCGTGGACCGGCTGCCCCCGGAGGCAGCGAGCGCCGAGCAGCCGCCCTCTCCGGCATCCACCGGCAGCCAGGAATCCAAGGTACCGCGCCAGATGCCCCCAGCGCACCAAACTCTCCCTGTGTCCCTCTGTCTGTCCGCCTCTGTGTCCTCTGCACGGGGCGCCGGCGCGGGGGGCTGAGACTGTGCCCGTAAGTCCACCGGGTTTCAAGGACTCTTCCTCCCGGAGACTTGGCTGTGCGGCTCCGCTGGCTGCTCAGGGTGCGGGACCACGTCCCTGTGGACCCTGCCTCCCTCCGCGCCCTCACGCACTGGGGCTTCTCTTGGCTTGTGCCCCGGGAGCTCACGCATGCAGGTCCCCTGGGCTCCGGGGTCAGGAATCGCTCTCTTGGGTGGTGATGGCTTCATTGTTCTTTGCCTATTGGTGCCTCCAAGGCGCGCAGGTAGTTAGGTGGCTGTTGGGACAGACAGCCAGCCCGGGCCATTCCTCCAGAAAAGCCGGGGCGTTTGCAGGGCCAGCAAAGGGTAGTCCGTATCCCAAGGGTCTCCAAGACCCTCTGCGTGGCAGAGCTTAGCTCTGACTTCCCACGCCGACGGTTTCAGAAAAACCAGGCGGTGGGAGAGGCTGTGGTGGCGGGAAAGTGATGCTCCTCCGGTGGAAGTTAGCACTCGCGGAACTTTCTTTTGCTTCTGGGAGTTACATGAACGCGTGCCCAGAACCGACAGACCCGGCACCTCTCTGTCCCAGCTGCTCTGACACTCTGGTGGGCGCCAGGCACAGGTTTGGAAACCTTGCCAGAGGATCCAGGGAAACGCCGCTGCTGGCAGGGAGATGCCATTTGGGGTGAAGATTGTCAGATGGAGTTGGTAGTTAGATGGATTTTTTAGAAGTGCAAGGTTCCTGGCTCTTTATACAGCTCTGCCAGTGAGTTCTTCCAGCATATTGGGGAGAGAGGGAGGAGGCCGTTGTGTAAGAGTGAAGGAAAGAGGGGTATCAGTTTGGAGGGCAGGTCAGAGGAGGCAAAGGAACCCCCCCTTCTCTGCCTTCCCACATACCCCTGGAAGCCACTGACACATCAAAGGGGCAAAATCACAGCTAAGTGGCTTTCAGGGTAAGCTTTGCCCTGGTGCAGGTCCCAGCCCCCCAAGGTCCGTCCGGTAATCCGAGACAGAGAGCTCTGCGTTCTTCTTCTTCTTTTTAATTTTTTAAAATATATTTTATTGATTTTTTACATAGAGGAAGAGAGAGCAATAGAGAGCTAGAAACATTGATGAGAGAGAATCATCTATCAGCTGCCAAGGTACATGCCCTTGACCGGAATCGAACCTGGGACCCTTCAGTCCGCAGGCCGAGGCTCTATCCACTGAGCCAAACCGGTTTCAGCTGCATTCTTCTTATTTTCATACAAGTTTTTCTGGTAGATGTCTGACCTGGGCGTGTTTGTCAACTTTTGTAAAACACTTGGACAGAAGGGCAAAAGCCTCCCTCTGCAGTCATGGTGCGGAACAGGGAGGTGAGCTGAGGTCCACCCTGGTGCACTCCCACCTGGGAAAAGGAGATGGCATCCATCCGGCCGGGATGGTCTGCTCCAGAGCAGCCTCACACCCACACACATGCACCATTCTTCTCCAAGCAGAAGGGTCTGGGTGTCTCACTGTCCGTCCTTCCCCATCAGTCATCTAAGCCAGTGGTCGGCAAACTCATTCATCAACAGAGCCAAATATCAACAGTACAACGATTAAAATCTCCTTTGAGAGCCACATTTTTTAAACGTAAACTTCTTCTAATGCCACTTCTTCAAAATAGACTTTCCCAGGCCATGGAATTTTGTGGAAGAGCCACACTCAAGGGGCCAAAGAGCAGCATGTGGCACGCGAGCCGCAGTTTGCCGACCAAAGACCTAAGTGATATGGGTTAGCGGCCATTTCAAAGGTGATCTAGAGTACTGGAAATGAATGTAGCTATCCTCAAGAGTGAAGCTGGCATTTACTGAGTTTTAGAGACAGGAAAGGAGAGGCAGAGAGAGAGAAGCATCGATGGGAGAGAGAAACATAATCCGTTGCTTCCTGTAGGCACCCCAAATAGGAATCGAACCCACACCTTAGATAGGTATGTGCCCTGACCTGGGGAATCAAGTCCGAAACCTTTTGGTGCATGGGATCATGCTCCAACCAACTTAGCCACCCGGCCAGAGTGGCATTGAACTTTTTGAATTGGGCCTGTTGCTCTGCGGTAGGTGAGTTCTGGAAAATGCTTAGCTTTTGGATACACAGCAACAGGGTTCAAACACACCACGTGGGTTTGCTATTTATAGATAACCTAATGTAAATTCTTTGGCAACACAAAAACTACCCTATGTAACACCCATAATTAACCATCAATTTATCTGGCTTATGGCTTCGGATTTGTACGCGTCCGTTTTTCTCAAACATGCCTGAAGTCTGTTTATACATTCCTAAATTTGCTGCCATGGCTTAGGTGCTCTTAATCAGAGAAGGGCTATGCAGTAGGTGGTGGGTGGGGGAGGGACATGAACCCCGGGAAACTGAATACAAAACAGTGTGCCTGAATGAATTCTTCTTGGCATAGCCTTAGTGATATACTCTAAGGGTTCCATTGCCCTCCGAAAAGCTAACTCCTGGTGTGGAGGACTGTGCGGTAAGGAGGCAGGATGGCGAGAAACAGGGGCAGAGGAAGCCTCCGTTCATTCTGCACCAGGAATGCTATGTCTGAAGGCTCACTGGCATTTGCAAGAACCTTCCAGATGAGAGCCTGGTGAGGAAAATGAGTGCCAGACAATAGCAATCATTCCACCTTACTCCTCTGAAGTGCTTTGCTTGTCTAAGCACCGAGTGAGGCAAGCATGGGCATTCAACTTTCTCAAGAAACATTTTGAAAATAACTTTTTAAGGAAACTTTTCTCACTGGTGGTAAGAGTAACATACACTTTTTTGTAGAAATTTGCAAAGTCCAAGCAAAAATAAAGAAAAGAATAAGATCGCCTATTGGTGACAACCCACAGGCAGCTACTGATAATATTTGACGTATGTCGTATGTCCTTTTCATCTCTTTTATATCTGCACAATTGAGAGAACAGTGGTGCACATCTACTGGATGCTTACTACATGTTGGGCACCACCTGACTGTTCAGGATTACCCTCTGAGGGCAATGGCACTGGTATTTCCATTTTATGGATGGGGAAGTGGAGGCTTAGAAAGGTGACTTACTCTCAAGAGCTCGTAATTGACTGACACAGCAAGGACAGGGACCCAGGGGCCATTGGTCTGGAGTGTGAGTTCTCATCCACAGTATAACATTTCCCAGTTCACCTTAATCCTAACCAAGTCTTTGACATGCCGCTAAAAGTCAATCACAGCAGTTATTTTGGCCTTCTCATCTTAAGAAATATTTGAAAATGAACTGAGCCACAGTGTCACATGACATGACTACAAACCAATTCTTGTCCAGGTTCTAGATTTTGGTTTTGCTGTCCTTTCCCTGAAATATATGTGTGGAAGTAATTAAGTGGAATATCACAGAATCATCTGGATATTCAAGAAAACCCTTGAGTCCAGAGGGTCCAGTAGAAGAGGAATGATGGTGATTCAATGCCCTGAGCACATGAAATGTTTCCAGAAGCACATATCTTTGCTAAATCATGGGGTATCAGAATTGGAAACACTAAAGATCCTCTATTTCAGGGAATTTTTAAATGATGGATAATTTCATTATGTAAATTAATTCTATGGTGGAGAATTTCAATATACACAAACGTAGAGAAAACAGTATGAAGAAATGTCATGTACCTGATCACCTGGCTTCATCAATTATCAATTTGTCATCTCGTTTCATCTATTAATCCTTCCCACACATACACACTGGATAATTTTAAAACAAATTCCAGACTTCAAATTATTTCATCCATAACTATTTCAGGTCACATCTCTAAAAGGCAATGCCTAATTTTATAAACCCATTATCACATACTCCAGGTGTTCAAAGGTCAATGTATTCTTTGGAGGTTCATGAATGAACTTTTGAAGATCCATAAACAACCAGAACATTCAAAATTGTGCAAGTACATGAACATGGATATCATCCAGGGAATGGACTATTAGCTTATACCAGATCAGTAAGGTGTTTATACCTTCAAAGCTTATTTAAATATCCCCCTTTATTTTGTCCCTTGAGTAAATCCAGGCCTAGAAGGAGGTGGTGTTTTACCTAAGATCACACAGCTAGTTACTGGCAATACAATTTCCTTGTTTTTATGTCTGAAAACCCTGTCTTGAACTTTGGATACCCCAATGCAGTTTTCTCAGAGCAGATTCCTGTAAGCACAAGTGGCAATATAGTTCAGATGGTTTTCTTTTTCATCAAATTAGTTGAGTTGAAAGAGTTGGAAAGCCATGAACCTCACCCATCTATCTTTCCACTAACTATTCCAGAAGAACCACAACCTAATTTATTTTCTAAGCACTTGACAGAGGACATGGAATACGCAGGAAAATTTCATATTTCAGCGTCCCTTATTTCAATGAATATCTTTTCTCCTACCAACTTATTGACAGAATTCTTACAGCAAAGCTCTCTAATCCACTTAGAATTGGATTCTTGGTATGGTGTTAAGTAGGGGTCAAGATTCATTATTGCGCTGCACCACCAACTTTGCCATAAGTCAGATGACTACATACCCAGTTTTTGTGGAGGTTTCTATAATGCCCAATTGGTCTATTTGTCTGTCCTTGTACCAAGGCAACCCTGTCTTAATGTAAAGGCTTTATGAAAAAGTTTTGATATCCAGCAGATTAAGTCTTCCAGCTTTGCTCTGCTTTTTCAAAAAATGGTTTTGGTTTCTTTGGACCTTTAGCATTTCTGTGTGCATTTTAGCATCAGCCAATCAATTTCCACAAAAACACCTGCTAGGATTTTGATTGGTATTGCAATAAATCTAGAAATCCATTTGGAGTGAAAAGACATCCTTATACAACTTCTTCCAATAATATATTCCACATGAGTGTGTTTTCTTCTGCCATTAGCTGAAAACTGGATTTCATTACTTTTGCATTTGGGGTCTCGT